TTAGGCTTAGCGGCACTTGAACAATTTTAAAATTGTTGATAATTCTAAAAATATTGCATACAGATTTATTAAAGGCACAAAAACCTTAACCGGAAGATAAGAACAACATAATTCAATCGTTTTTAAAGAAAAAAATATACAATCACTGAGCTGGCTAACAGAGTGGATATATATATATAAATATATTTATATATACGTTTGGTGCGGCCGATTACAACCAAAATACGAGGTGCACATCTATATGTTATAGCAGTCCTATATACAAAATTTCAACGTTCTGAGGCTACTCGTTTTTGAGTTATGCGAGATACGTACGTACGTACGTTCGTACAGACGCCATGAAAAAGTCTCTTGAGAATTCATTTTAAAGAAGTTTTATAACTTTTTTGGAGGAAAAGAGTGTTTTATTCTGTCCTTACATACAGATATATTACGGAAATACATTGTTAAATTGCATTTGAAAGAGGTCAAAATGGGACATTTTCGTTGAAATATGCTGCCCGCAACTTTTCGCGGTTACAATACTTCCTTTTTTCTTCGTACAAGGAAGTAAAAATAAATAATAAGAGCTTCGCAAAAAATTATAAATGTATGTTATAGTAGTTTTACGTATATTATATGATGTATTTACGTATATTATATGATGTATATTATATGATATATGTTATAGTAGTTTTACGGTGAGCTAATCTATGACGTAAGATAGTCAAGATTTAATTTCCGCCTAAGCCTTCAAGGCCCGAGACTACCACGCCAAGATTTAAGGGCTCCTAAATTATCAAATATTTTCTCGCAGCCCGGTTTTTCTATAATGAAACAAAAATTTGGCATTAGAAGCAACAGAAATAATTTAGGACCCCACCTATCTCAACCGGGTTTTCAAGATAGTGTAAGGATCTTAAGTTTTACTAACGTTTATTTTATTTTAAATCTTTACTATCACTTCTTATTTTCTACTTCCGGCCAGAATTATAAGCGTTAATGTATTTATGCAAAGTTTGTCTGGCGAACGCCAAGTATTTAAGTTGTGGCTTTTTGCCAAGCGAGAGAGAGGAAGCGGTTAGTCGAAGCAGGCCGCTTACCTTAGAAGTTTTACTCAGTTGCTGGTTGCCTTCCAGGCCAGAGGTTTAATCCTCTTGATAACTTTAAACGTATTGTAGTGTTCACAGTTCTCTGTACTACATACGGCTTCCTGTTAATATAAGGCCACTCTTCCACGTTTATTATTTCAAAGTTAAGAGTTTAGTTTTATTTTTATATTTTTACGTTTAGACCACAAGTAGTGGGTCTTTCGATTCCGAAGTACGGAAGTTATTGTAAATAGAGAAAAATAAAGGGTTTTGTATATCCTTCTTGTGTATCCTGTCTACTTCCCACAGTTATTGAACATAGCTTTAGTAAGCTCTCTGTTCCGAGTCAGGTCCTTGCATGTTCCCGAAGAAAGTAAGACGGAACATTGAACCTGATAATAGTAGTATCATAAGATCTTCTAAAGAAAGTGAAATAAAAGCAAATATAAATTTAGCTCAAACTATTGAATTTAGAGTCAAAATTACGGAAATTTTAAAATGGTTGAAAATTGATCTACACAACAACAAGCACAGGGAGTTGATCTGCCTAAGGGGAGGATCTTTTCGTGTTGATCTTTCCAGAGAAAAATGATTCGTTTTCATGTTACACGTAGGGAAGACCACGGTACGAAACCTGAAGCTAGCTCGTTTACCTAGGATCTAATCCGAATCTATATCCTTATATTTAGCGGTCTTAACCTGGTTGGGTCCCTGATTTAAGGTTATTTAGATATGCACACAAGGTGTATCAGACTATGAGGGGGTATGCCTTAGTGGAGGCCTGAATAGGAGAAACGCCTCGTATTGACGTTACACATAGGAAAAATTAAGTTCGTCTGAATTGGTACCCAGGAAGAACTACCAGAACTCCTTTATTTCACAGAATTCACCATGCTGTTGTTCATGTCTAGTTCTTGATATAACGCTTTAAGGATATTCAGATATTTATGTGACTTTTATTTATGCTTGTCTTGTATGAATAGTTATCATTGTCAAAAACCACATACATGAATTCTAAACAACACTACACATCTGAATTCTCTTCATTGTAGTTAGGGTATTAAGGTACTCTTTCAGCAAAAAATTTAAAAATCGGTAATTTCATTGATTTTGGGGTACCGAGTCCCCTTAATAAACAGTGTGAGAAAAATGCCGCTTAGTGCCATGGCAGATGAATACAACGCTTGTGGACCCCATTTATTGGGTTATTCATGGACTGCAAAATAATCATGAGCTGATGTGTTGGTCCAAGTGTTAGTGTTTCGGAGTACTCAGTTCAGCGGACACTGTTGGATATGGGACTGCGCAGTAGACGTCCCACTCATGTGCCTCTGTTGACCAAGCGTTATTATCAACTACGTCTACAGTGGGCCCCAGAACATCGAGACTTGACTATAGATAAATGGAAGTTGTGACAGAACAGATCATGAAATCTGCAGACAATCTAAACACAACTGCAAATCAGTAGCACACTTACATGGCATCTGTCTTCCCAACTAGAAATGGAATCTTCCAACAGGTAATGCCCCATTTAACATGGCTCGAATTGTGGAGTGGTTTGAGGAGTATAAGGATGAATTACAGTTAATGTTGTAGCCACCTAACTCGTCAGAGTTTTAACCTGAAATACTCAAACATTTTTATCGCCTAATATCTTGGTCAGTTGGCAGAGATTCCTGGAACATAAAATCATAACAGTAGATGAAGATATTCAACATTATCTTGATTTTTGATGAGCTTTTCAGTCTTTCGAACCAATTCACATATCGAAACCAATTCACATGATTGTTAAATCGTCTATGTATCGAAGGTTTAGATCAATCCTTTCATAACCAGTAATATTTCTGTATTTTCAGGAAGGACTCATCTAAGGAAAACATCTTCTTGAGCTGCTTTGATACGTTGTTTGTTTTTAGACAAATATTCAGTTTAAGAAGCAATTCGCTCAATCCCAAATGATCCATCAAAGTTGCTAGATACACTTGCTAGATAAGATCAAAATAGAGTAACAACGTGTTCAATGAAATCCCTAACTGTTATGACGACCGCCAAGTTCCCAAAACTATGAAGTGATTAAAATGATGCTAATTAAAGTGGATATTGGTGTAGTAGAAAATAATTCTTCTTCAACGCATTCCCTGTATTCTTTAAAATCTTTACTACTCAAAAATTATTTTTTTTTTTGGATGATGCGTCTTAAAGGTTCCACTAACTGGTTAACTTAGAGCCTTGGTCACTATTGAGACTGTCAGGTGACTTTGCTCTCCATCTGAGTATATAACAGCAGAATCAAAAGAAGATATAACGAACCTTCTTATTGAAACTATTAGCATAACAATACAAGAGTTGTGATGACAAGTAAATATAAGCCAGCTTGCAGGATTTCAAAAGCATAAAACGGGATTTAAAAGTGATTTGATAAAGTGATGAATATTTAAAACTTGATAAGTGAAAATTTGATAAGTGATTTCAATTTAATAAGTGTTGGATATTTACACTTGCGAAAGTCCAACAAGCGTTGACTCAATTCTAACTAAATGTGTGAGTGACTCGGATACCGAAAAGGCTAATGCTGTATAACATAAGTCTCGGAGCTGGGCTAGGAAATAGCACAGCTGCCCAGCTGTTATAGTGGTTAGTGACTCTGACTGCCATTTCAATAGACCCGGGTTCAAATCCAGGAGAAGGCATGAATGTTTGTAAGTATATATTGTTGGTGCGACAAAGGATGTCAAAATATGCGGGGAGCAAAATGTCCTCTGGATGGTAGAGGAAGAAGGGTGGGAAACCCTTTGACCGTCCCCGGCAGGCTCTTCCTCAAAACTGGGTTGGAATCTTAACAGTTAACTACATTCATTAATGCGTCAATCACCGGTGGTCTAAATCTATAGTCTAAATTTTAAGAACTCTTCTTATAAACGCTATCACATTTACAACCTGGTGAGAGTTGACGAAAAGTAAAAGTGATAGTATGGACCAATTCATAAGATAATATATTAATTAAACCAAAAACCTTTTGCAATATTTCAGTCGTTTTTATGGCAGACACTCATTTCTAAAACAAAATTTAATGTATTTCGCAGAAGGCTGGAGTATTATAGATCGGTGGCGGTAGACTTAATAGATTTTGAAGAACGGAGTTTTAATCTTTAAGTTCTAAACCTTCTCATACTACATGTTTATAGGCTAGGGAAAAATATGGTAACGTAAAGGAATTCTGTTGCCGCAGGAAAGAGTATAGATTTGCAAAGGATTCGATGGACTGTATAACTGGCAACAGAACAATATTGAAAATTTTGATTTGATGTTTTAAACTGTCTTTTGATTATTCTGTGTTGGGTGTGCTGCGTTAACCATGAGACCGATTATTGTCGACCAGGAGGGTTGTAACACACTCGTGTATTACATTACCACATGTTCATCGTCCTCCCAGATTAAGATTTTGTACTCAAATGTAAACTACTTCTATATTTACCTACGTTACATCATAAGATAAGAGCTAAGAAAAGGCTTTGAAGTTTTATTGGAATAGTTTTTTTTAGACTAAATTTCAATGTCCTTAAATTGGGTGTAAATGCTTTAAAAAATTTTTCTTCAGTTTTATGGAATTCTAAATTGGAATTATAAATAAAAAAATTGAGACCATGAAATAATTGTGTCTTTGTTTTCTTTGTTTTCCTACGCGTACGACAATTTAGCTCTGACTGTCACAGAAGTTTATAGGATGTGACATGAGCACCTCGGCACAGTTTTAAATTGACTAAAGAAATTACGATTGACTTTTCCTTATAGTTACATGACACTGCAACATCCATCACGCAATTCAACGTCACGGTCGAACCCAAGGTGATAATGACCCCCAGAGAGAGAAGAGTCTGACCATTGGAGTGCATCCGAGAGTAGAGAACATCTTCAAATTAGGGCAACATTCCCATCATGTATAAAATGCCTTCAGTGAATGCACCTTATTATGATCTGAACCTCTATAGAACGTTTTCATATCTGAGCTCTTCAAGCTGGAAGGTAAGTGCAATGTTAGTTTTTATTCCATGGCTTCTTCTCCTTGCGTGCACTCAGTATTTTGAGCTGTAGAATAACATGCTTCAAGATTCAACGTTACTAACTAAAAGTGTTATTTTATTGTGAAAAAAAGGCAAGATTCGAGACGCAGTCGCGGGATAAATGGCCTAGGATTTGCAACCACAGTTCGTTAAATTTGACTGAGGACATAAAAAATGAAAAAAACTGGAAATCAAATAAGCAGCAGTAAAGCAAATATCTAAATAAACTAACAAGCATTATGTAGCATAATTTTCAAGCTATACTTTCACTTAAAATCTATTCAAATCTTGACAATTCAGTCAACGTAATGTATGAAAAGATGTGTTCTCCTTAAATCGGAAAGAGAAATCGTCTTTTCATACAATTTCATAAATCGGAAGAATTTAAAAAGAATATACGGATGAAAATCAGTTTCCATCATTAATTTTGAATTGGTGCTTCTAAAACTCAGAAAATGGAACGTTGGACTTTGAAGACTTATATTGGTGTAAATAAAAAGACGAAAATGGCTTTGTATAATTTAGATATACGGATATTTTACTATATTTCGGAGGTATAACGAAAGAAAAAGTGTAACCAAAAATAAAGCAACTATGGTTTAAATTTTAGAGCACGATTACTTTTTATTTTATTTTATTTTATTTTATTTATTTATTTATTTATTTATTTATTTTGGTTGCTTCTTTTTCTATTGACACTAAAATACAGAACGGTGAAGCTCGCAATATATGGAAACGATTTTGGTAATTAATTTTTACCCATACACGGCGTAATACATTCTTAGCTAAATTCATTCTTATCTATAGCTCCAATTTTCCATAAAAGTAAACTTTTTCTTAACACATTAACGTGATTTTTTTTCCATTGCTCTTGGGTTGTCTCCCAAAGTCCATTCAGCTTCTTGGATGCCATTTTCTCAAAACTCGTTTTAACAAATCGAATGCGCAAAAGTCCACAGGACAAGCATCAAGTGAATTTACAGGTAATTCATTAAATTGATATATTTTATTCCTGTTTCTGATTCTTTCTTTGCTAAAAAAGCGGCAGTTAGACGTGTGACTATTTAGAAGTGACTTAGACGTGTGACTAGTTAGAAGTGACTTGGAAGTGTGACTAGAGCCTTTGTCAATATGAAATTGAACTTTAGAGATGTCCTTTAGAGGCCGAAATTCCTTCTTCAATTCCTTGGTTTAAAAATATTCTGCTGATAGTACAATTAGTTAGTTTCAGACCTTCCCTGAGACTTTTCTGAGTTTTATTCACTCTTGTAACAAAATCCTGCAAATGTCACAAATCTGGTTGGAAAATTTTCCATACATTCAGGAAGCCATTCCGTACTGCCATTTTCGCCAGTTGAGTAATTCTTTTTATTAGACATTTAAATATACTTATGCCTCATCGTGCGTTACTGTTAATTTCCGTTTACCTGCAGCTAAGTGTTTGTCATACAATTTTTTACATTTTGTTTCACTTCTTATAAAATGCTGTGACAAAAGCAGATTAATTTAGGTTTAAACATGTTCAAATCTTTTCGAAGGATTTTACTTACAGTCCCAGAAGATGCTACCAGTTACGACGTAATGGAGTTTTGAGTGGGTAGATTTTCACTTCATTTCTTCACTTCAGAAACTTACATTTCTTGATATCTATCTACATTCCAGCAACCTTAGGTTGAGTTTTTCGGGCCAATTTCCCCCCCCCCCCATTTTTACTTTCAGCTAGACGCATTTTCTCTTTCGAAGTTAACATGTTGAAAATAGTTTTCTTTGATTTGCAATAACTTTGATATACAATTTAAAATTTGCCACTTTTCAGTTGTTGATACGCTGTTCCCTTAGAAGCACATTTAAGTAACCTTTGAGCACCTATCAGTTACAGAAGCCATTTCCAAAATAAATCTCTTATTCTGCATTCTAATTAAAATAAAAAAAGTAGCAGACGATTATATTGAAGATGCCAAATCTTTATCTCAAAATGCTAACGAAGGAAATTTAATTAGAAAATCATTTCCATGACGTGCGAATAGCCTTCTATGAACGGGAAGTCAATTTACTACTAAATGAAATATTAATTTTCGTCTGAAAATTAGCTTTTATATATTGTCCATTAATTAATGGAAGCTATAAAAAAAGCTTCTATAAATTATTTTCATCTCTAAGACTTCTGAAGACATTTTAATTAACTTTCTGCATAAAATTAACGAGAAGAACTAATGAAAGAACACTCGATAATTTACACTACTTTAAACATGATTTGAAAATCGTTGTAATAACAACAATTAGGAAAATTTCTGATGTTCAAAATGATTGTAATGAATATTCTACCTAGTTCAAATCCTGAATTTATTTATTAATATTCTTCTCGGGTTTAAACAAATTGTTCAACAAATACGTCTTTATGTTAAATTGAGCATTTACTGTAAATTACACGATTTTCCCCTGAAAAACAGAGCAATTATTTTATTAAAATGATTGTAATTATCATCGTTTTTATCACCAGAATATTCCAAAAAAAGTCTTCCTAAATTAGTTAACAAATATAATTAAATACATTTCAAATAAACCAAAATAGCATATGGAGCATAAACGGCATCGAAAATAACGTCTTTTTTATTTATGGTGAAGTTTGTTATTATTTTGAATAAAAAACAAATAAACAACGAAAATAGAAAAGAATGCTAAATTCAAGCATTCATGCTTACAATAAGGTAATGGCCTAACAAAAATGTACACATGACAATAAATTTTTAAAGACACAAGTATACTATGATTGAAATTACAAATATCAAAAGAGAAATAATATTTTAAAAGTGTAATTTATAATTATTAGAAGAAAAATATTTATTGATTTTTTCAAAATTTTTTTTTTAGTTTAATAATATTTAAAGTAAAGTTAAATAAGTTGCCTTTTTGTATAATTGCTGAAGTAAGAATTTTCAGAAGTATTTAATATTTTTATGATAATATTAAAGAAATCATAATTAGACCTCAAGAATCTTATTACCGAAAAGTTTATATTTATTAATATAAATTTTAAGAATTGAAAAAAAGAACTAAATGTCAATATTGACATTTTTGAAAACGCATTTTATATTTTCTTTAATACTGATATTTCAAAAATGCAGTAACTACGGGTTACAATATTTAGAACTAATGCTTAGTGCTTTAAATTAGCCTTTTTTAATCACAGCAAAATAAGGTTAAGATAACAGGAGATTATCATAATAATCCTTTCCTTCTATCAGTGTATATGAGTGTACTTACACAGAAGCTGTAAATAATTTAACAAAGGGGGAAAAAAGACTGCAATTAAAATAATTAAAATATCTTTTTATAGTGCTGCCATCTCTTGTTGATAATCTGAACTATAAACTGCTTCTTTTAACTGCAATGAAAATAATTGAAATAAGTTTTATGTAGTGCTGCTATCTCTTGTTAATAAACTGAACTATAAACTGCTTCCTTAAATCTTAGGCAATGGAGTACTAGAATAGATTAGCATATGTTGTATTTCCTATCCTCTTTTCATTGGGAGTTTTTGGAAGATTCAAAAATGAAAACCATACATTTAATTTATGAACTTCTGTTTTGAATAGAGAGTTGAAAACAATAAGAGAATTCAAAAAATATATTAAAAATAAATGGCATAAAATTAAATCACATACAAAACACTCTGTGTAAAATAGTCTATAGAATAAATTTTTAAATGAAAAGGATATTTTTGGGCTACTCTCATTACCAATTTAAGAAATGCATTCGTCAATATCAGGGAAAATTTATAGAGGTTCTGTCTTTTGGATCATTAAACTACTTAATGTAAATGTCCTCATGCCTTTATTAGGATGACAACTTGATGAAGAAGTTCCTCTCTCAGAAGTGAGAAAACAGAACTTTCAAAGTATTGTCCATTCTGATATTTCCACGCTATTTCAGGAGATGCAGTAATTAATTATAGCTTCATTTTTTGCATTCCTATCTGTGTTTTCTTCGATAATTCTCGAAACTTGAAAAGATGTACTATTAGTCGGAGTTTTGTGTATTGAAGAAGTATATCAAGGCCAACAGAAATCCTACTTGCTTAATAAACGTCTTTTGAAAACAATGTTTATTCAGGCCAAGTACATTCTTCACAAAGAAAAATGGAAATGGGAAAGTTCTATATATCCCGTTTTACTAAGTCGAGTGATAAAATTTAGCTTGCTTTTTTTCGCGAAAGTGAGACTTAACGATATATATTAGATTTATATATAGCATTACTCTAACAGGTATTTTGACATAAAATCCAATGCAAAAAGCATCCAGACGCATTCAGATTTTCTGCAATGACATACAATTTTTTCCTATGTTTTGATTCTACGATTAAAATTATGCCAAACTGCCAAGATTTGTAAAAATCGCCCTACTTGTTTATAAAAAATTAGCTCGGAAAGTTTTAGCTTTTCAATGCTAATTGAATTTGGAATATTTTTTCTTAATATCTCTTTCTTTATTAAACTTACCTAATTCCTTATTTCACGGACCAAAATTTAGATTTAATCCAATACGCAGATATTTTCTGATTTATTTTTAAATTTTTTATTTTTTAGTAATTTTTACAAATTTTTCAAAAAATTTTTAAATTATGACTTCTAAAATTTTTACAACCACATTAAAGTTTATGCATTCTAGACATACTGGCAAAAAATTAGGAAGAAGAAGAACAACAAGTTTCAAGAAGAAAGAAACATGTTCTTCAGCACACATTCATAGTCCCAATTTAATGTTTTAAATACTAACCCCTTTGTTTAATTTATCCAACAGAACTTTTCAAGGGGTTATCTACTGACAGCTTTACATAGGGGTACTCTAAATAGGAAGAGGGCCAAAAGTCCTTTTGAGAGATTCATAGTAGGGGTAAAGGGGAGGGAGACTTTTGGATTTGGTCTCCCCCGGAATGCTGTCTCTCAAAAATGTGGGGGGAGGGGCGGAACTGAGCTAAAGTTGGGCTGCCACCTATATGGTGCTCAAGGCTCTTGTAACAACAACATTACTGTTGTTTTACTTTCAGACGCACAGCAATTGATTAATTCAAAATCGTAATTTTCTTTTCTTTTTTACAGTGCAGATTTTTTGTAGGCTTCATTTGTTGGTATATATGCAAGCAAGAATATTGAAGCAACAATCTTTACCAAGTCCGAGAGAATGTTTCACAGAAAGGCACTGATGATAGTTGTTTTCCTTATATTTTTATCGGTCTTCTCTCTACCCGTGGAAACTGAAGGAAGTATCTACAAGAAGATGGCTGAAGCCATGATGCATCACATGATGTCAGGCTGGAGCGACGGGTGGCAAAGCAAGGGAATCACACTGGGCTTGAAATCAAAAGGAATGACGGCCATTATTCCTATTCCGTTGCCAGTTCCAGTTTTCACCAAGGATAAAGGAGGTGGCGGTGGTGGAGGTGGCGGTGGTAAAGGTGGAGGTGGTGGTGGAGGAGAGAAAATCAAATATATTCCTATCCCGTAAGTATGTTTAAAAGAGTAAAATTTAAAAGCTTTTTTGGTACTTACGTATTATTACATCGAACCATGAAAGTTGGCGAAGATCCAGCCAAATTTGCGCCAATCATTTTTGTGGAATTCTAAAGAAAATGAAGACTCTTTATTTAATAAACAGCCAACATTTGACTCGCTTTGTTTTTGCGCTTCATAAAAAGGCTTTTGTTGATTTCTTATATCTTGTTAGCTTCGTTGATTTTAACAGATGTTGTGTCTAGAAAGCTACTACTTAGTTAATTTTTCCCATATACTATTACTCATTTGTCGATCATACTCAGCTTACCATATCTTGTCAATAAATACAATTTTGATGGTAGGATCCCATGACTATTGCCAATAGACAGGTTCAAATTTTAATTTTTTTTTCAAACTGTAAGAAGATAAACAGCTATCACAGTTAATTTTTATCTTTAATCATAAAAATGAAAGGTGGTTTATCAAGAAACTATCAGAGTTACATCAAACAAAAGCGCAGATGTTATGAGTGTGTTGCAACGACACGCTTCTCCATAATTGTATATGCATCGCGCTTTCGGCGACAGTTTCACGGTTGACAAGTTAATACATACGGACAATTTTTGATTATTTATTTTACTTGAGGATTCAAAACATTCTAAACGCTACAATTTTTTAATAATTTTGTCATATTATATATAAAATATATATTTTTCATCTATTGGGCATATCAGTTTTCTCAAACGGTTTCGCTCCAAGATTTCATAGCTATTTTGGATACCAATAAACATCATCAAGTAGTTTTTATGCATTTCATTTGCTGGTAATGATGATTTTTTAATATTTAGTTTTCAGTTCTAATATTTATACATACACATATGTAAGAAAGGGACAAAATATATAAAATAAACATTGACCAATAAGAGCTAATTTTCTAACACAAAGTTAAAAATTGAATACCTATTGCATCAAAAGCTCGGAAAAGTAACTAAAACTAAATTAATACCAAAATAAAACAATATTCATATAAATTTGAAGTAAAATTCACATAATATTAAACAATAATTGATAATTCTTCTCGTTTTTTAGTCAAGGAGTAGCCGATAAAAATATCAACACAGCTACGTTTCTGGATGAATTATGAAAATAATTTTAGAATTTTTTAAATTTAAAATAACGAAAGAGAATATACATTAATAAAAAGTATTAAACATTTTTAAGAATTTTTAAATTATAAAATAATAATATTTAGTGTCCGAAATTAATCATCAAAATATGTGACTCAAAAGAAATTAAATAGAAAATATATAAAACAAAATTTCAAAACGAAAGGAAGAAAATTCTTTTGGTTTAAATTTAAACTAAAAAAAAAAAAAAAAAATAGTAATTTGGAAAACTGAAGAGCTAGCATAAACAGGTTACAAATAAGCAAACTGTCGAAATTACCTAAGTTCCGTAAATGTGAAAGTCTTTAAAAAATTCAAAAAGAAAATTAAAATCAACATAAAATTCTAAAATTCAATAGCAGAAAGCAGAACCAAATGAGGAATAAACTGTTAATTTCCAGTAAAGCGGAAGATTGTTAAAAACCAAAGTAAATGGTTAAAAATCAAATTTTTTCCTTAAAATGTTCCGTAATTTCATACAAAAATACAGTTAACAACTTAAAAAAGGTGGGGAAAGAGAAAACGATATCTGAAAGGTTTCAGATCTTAACGTTAGCCCAAAAGGATTTATTAAGGTTTTTCATGCTCCCGCTGAGCTCGCAGTCAACCAGCTTTCTCTTGTGCACTCACTCCTGATAACCCCAATTTTTTCTTTCCCCTCTTTTTTAAGCTTTGTTATTAAACACTATTTTTTTTCGCCCTTACGCCACATACAGTTGAACAACAAAATCATGAACTAAATTAAGTTTAATTTTTCTTAGTAAGATGGCTAACAACTTTTTTCTTTTCTTTTTTATTATTAGCTTCTTCTGTGGTAACTTTATTTATTAAATATCATGTTCTTCGCCCTTACGCCAGATAAAATTCTTCAACTGCAAAATCACAAAATATTTAAAAACAGCATATCTTTAGAATTTTTAGAATTCTAAATAGTGTTAAATGCTGCTACACATATTTTTATATTGGCTATTATTTCTTTAAAATTTAGATGCTCGAGCTTCTAGGAGTGCAAAATAGTTATCACAAAAAGAAAAAAATATAAAATGATTTCAATGAGTCCAGCTAGAGTTAATTTCATAAAAATATTGAATATTTCTAATTTGACAGCTCATGATTTTAATACATGTTTATTTAATCAATTACATTAAAAAGTAGAAAAAATATACTTATGAAACTGTGCTTATTGCTTTAAATCGCTTAGTGTATCCCTCGATAACCTTCCAGATAATATTTGAAAGTATTTTGGTCTTTGCTGAATATCAACACACTGACGTTTTCGGCTTGCCGTGTATTTTATTTCTGTCCGCGGCAATACATTTCTTTCTTAGATCCGAGTTTTTTAATTAAAACTGAAAGATCTTACATTTTTCGGAATGGCAACAGTCTTGCGCGCTGAAGATAAAAATGTCGATTAGTGTTGCCAATCCTCGCTTTCAAATCATTGAGTTTGTTTATCAAAAATTCATTAAAGTTTTACAAAATATGAAATAACTATAAACAAATCCGAAGTTCAAAATTCAAGCATCACCGTTCCCATATTGGGGCATAGGACTACGTTATTCAAAATTTGATGGCTCTACGTAGCATCGTTTTTTAAAATGCCAGGAGCATACATCCATACATACAGATTCATCATTATTTAATTTCTTTAAATATAACACTAGACGATAGTATTTGGCCGCAATAATATGGAAAGTGACATGCAGTTTATAGTAAATCGACGCAAAATCCTATTTCGAAAATAATAACCCCTTTTAAGCTAAAAAAAAAAGACAGAAATGTAATAAAAACTACAGTAAAATGTAGCAAAATAGGGAAAATTTTAAAGATTGCATAAAACCGTAACATGTATGTCCCACTTGCCGCAAACCCTGGGGTATAAACAGGGCGGCAAACTCTTGCATCTCTCAGAAACACTACGAAGGGGGTGGAGTGGAGCCTGTGAATCTGGAGAAAAACTGGTTGTCAAATTGCCTCTACTGGGTTTTGATATTTACTGACCCGTGCACGTTTTCGGCTGTAAAGTCAGTGCATATTCGCCAGGTGGGTAAGGCTGCACACTGGCCTGCCTTTGGGCTACCCGTACTTACTGGCTACCCTACTTATTGGCTCGCCGGAAGTACAGGGCTTTTCCGGTCTTCCACAGATTACTGGAATTTCAGGTTCATATGCTTTTACACCTAGAGTTGAGAGTACTTTATACCCCAAGCATAATACAAATAGTTTTTTAGTACTAAGCTAATATTCACTATCCAGGGGGATTTATTTTTAGGTATCTCAAGGCATTGCAAATTGCTAAGTTGGAATTGTGAGGGAAAACAACCCGGACAGAGGTCCGCCCTTCTTTCCCTACAACCAACCTCTCGAGTGGACTTTCGGCTGGCCGTATGTTTAGAGTGCCTCCATGACACATAGACACTATACATTTAAAAGTATCCATGCCTTTTCCGGGATTCAAACCCGAGCCCTTCGGTATGACAGCGGCACTAACCACTACCCATCTAGGCGGCATGTACAAGGAAACCGAAAGGAAAATTTAGTATAACTAAGCATATGTAAATACATATAAATTACAATTTTTTAAGATTTGCGTAAACCAAAATTATTCGAAACTAATCTTCCTACAGCATATTTTATTTTTATTTATTTATTTATTTATTTTTTATTTATTTCAGAGTACCTGCTGGAGGTGGGAAAGAGAGTGATTGGTGGAGATAAAATTAATTCCCTGATCATTACTTTCAGCTGGATCTGAAATACATTTACCTCATTTCCTTTCATCCTGTACATACATGAACCATAATAAAGATTGTAGAAATATTTCCATGTCATTTTCTTAACCATTCGCAAGAAATCAGTTATCCTTCATCCTTAGGTATTAGAGCATTATTTAAAACTGAATTACATGGAGTAAATAAACTTTATTTTTGAAGAAGAAGAATATTGTTACATGCGTGCGGGTTCCTAATGGATTGAATGCATACAGAACCAATAAGAGCCTGATGAAGTTTATTTTTCCCGAAAACTCACACAAAAAACAATAGTTCTGGAATGTTTCACACAAAAGTACTCATACAGATCTTCTCAATATGACAGAGCACAATCAGTAGTTACCATTTCAAACAATTAAGAACGTTGAACAAGGTAAAGCAAGGAGCTTCAAATACGTAAGCTCACATTTTGATCTCTCGATACTCTGAGCTAAAGTGAAAATTCATCCTCTCTCTCCAGTCTTATATAGTTTTTCCCCGTCCGCTAAGAAATTTCGAGTACCTTCGATTTCGTGAAACATCAGGAAGGCATAAGCAGTTGCAGTTACTATGGGTCGGATACAGCTGCAGTTACACAGGGACCAGCCAAAATGTCACTAAATTATAGCCAAGCTTGGCGCCTTGTCTTTTGGAAATTTCTCGCCGAATTTGGAGACAAAATTTAGTTGGTAAAATTATCGACAGCTTGGTGCTGTCTCGCCAAGTTTGGCAACTTTTAAATTTGGCAACAAACATTAGTCGCCAAAATCGTCGCCAGCTTGGCGCCATCTCGCTAGTTTGGTCAGATAACAATTTATCTCAATTTCACATAAATGTTCAAAATTGTTCAAAGTTCAAAAATATATAAAACCTCAAAACATTTTTTAAAAATTGTGAAATACAGAAAACCTAAAATACGCCATAGAGTTAAAAAAAATACAGTTAAAATTGGAGTTTGCAAGCCAAAATACACTGACTTAATTCACTATTCTACTAAGAGCTTCAAATGTAAGCAAATGATGAGATCGTTAGCTTAGAGCGACTTAAACTTTGAAATTGTAGATAATTCTGCAACTGCTGTTTTCAGATTCACTAAAGGCATAAAAACCTTAACCACAATGTAATAAAAACATAATTCAATAACTTTTAAACTTCAATAACTAAATAGCAAAAACTGCACTATTTAGCCACATATGAGAATAAAAATACAGAACTTACCGAGTCGGAAAGAGATTGCGTATGTACATATATACACCAAACGTATATATATACATTTACGTATACCGAATGTATATATATATATATATATATCTTCGTGTGTGTGTATGCACAACTATGTATTTCGCAATGTATATCATGTAATTTAATCCCTTTTACTTGAGCTAATTTAACGCTGAAAGGTTAGGAGTACCATTGATGCCGCCGCCGGTGGCAGTACTTGTAGTGCTCACTGGAGTCACAATTTCCATCACGACTCGAGGAATGATGCCAGAATGTTGTTAGTTTTCTAGTTAGTGTGTGGGGTTAATACCTGCTTACTTAGGGTAAATATTAGGTGGCCCCCTCACTTCTACATAACATAACATATATATGTCTGATGGAGCCGACAGCGAAGAAAAAGAGAGTTGTACAGATAGATGTTATAGTAGTCTCATGTACAAAATTTCAACTACAACTATTCGTTTCTGAGTTATACGAGATACATATATATACGTGCGTACGTACGTCCTACGTTTATACGTACTTACATGCAGGCATCACCATAAAATCTCTCATGGATCCATTTTAAATTCATATTATAATGTGTTTTGGAAAAAAGAGTCCCATACGTACAGATGTCACACAAAAACATCTTTCAAATGACCTGAGAGCGGTCAAAATGGATATTTTCATTTAAATATGATTTTTCGCACTTGTAATACATCCTTTACTTCGTACAAGGAAACAAAAATTTTACTTGATTTTGAAGAACTGAAGTTGTACGCCAAAAAATTGAAAATATAAACTTTTTCGAATATTCCTATCGGGAAAACAGCAAGGAATGGTCCGATGGCAATTCGAGCTTTCAGTGCTCCATGGATGCGTATATTGTTTCAAATGTCAAAAGAACAGAAGAGTGACACTGAATGAATAAGCGAAGATAAAGTTGAAAATTGCATTAGCCCGAAACAGCATTGATTTCTTTTGAAATCCTATTCGACTTCGTCAACCAAACGGAATTCGAATGTAATAATAAAGTAACATTTCGAAAAATACGCGGCGAAATTTGAAAACATTTAAACGCTGTCAAAAATAAATTAAAATGAATAATATTTTTTAAGAAATGAATTCATGTGCATGAATTCATTTGTGTGCATGAAATCTGATAGTTTGGATTATTCGTGTTTTCCAGTGACATGCTTCTCCGACACTAGCCCGGATTATTAAGAGTACGTTGTCCTCGAAAACCAAACGTGTAGAAGTCGGCGAAGACGAAAATCGCGAATTCCAAAGAAGTTGACTCCAAAGAAGCTGGAGGAATACCAGTATTGTAATAAAGAACAGTTCTAACCAAAAAGAAACTGAAACATGCATTTCGCTATGAGAATATTTACAAAATTACTACGCTTCGTGTCTGACTATTTTAACTCGAAATCAATAGGATACAGACAAGGAAAGTCACAATGCGTACAGAAACTTACGATTTTTCTCAAGATTAATAAAAAAAAGCATAGGAAATTGATAAAAATATGCGAACATTCTCCGGATCCAAATTCTAGAGAACAGGCGCATGAATGTCAAAAATACCTCATCATTTATTTTTCAATATACGCTTAAAGTGAACTAAAATACACTAACCTGAAAACTAGACAGTTACAATTAAAACAAATAGATCGCTCTTACTCTGTCAACTATGTCCATTCATGTATTTAGTTAAATGTTACTTAAAATTGTTAGCTTTTAGAAGTTTAAAGAGTTTTTAAGATTAATTGATTTTAGCGTGACTTGTGAAATTCCAGAGTTGCATAAATATGGCTATCTTAGCGTGCAGGTATCTAATGTATCTTAGTGTCTTTAGTTTTATGTATCAGTTACAGCAGTTCTCGCATGCCAAATACGGCATTAGTACAAATCGTACATACATGATTGTGTATCCATGATAGTGCGTTCGGCAACGATTCGTATTTTGGCATCTAAAGCATGTAAAACTTGAATTTAAACATATTTTTGAGAACTTTAAAATTTTGCTTCAGCGTAGATGAACCCCAATCTTTATTTGCAAGAACTGTTAATAAATTCATTTCGGGATATACAATAAATGAACTTTGCGAGTCACGTGTGGCATGGGCGGAAAGCAGGTTGAGTATGAATGATTTAAATCAATAAAAAATAGAAGCAGCTGTACTAATAGCAAACATAGGTTTGCATCGAACAAAAAGTACAAACAATTTGCGAGTCTTACCGCACTCCTCCTGAAATTAATTCCACCTAAACCACATTAATTTGCAAGGTTGGCCGCATTCCCCCTGAAACTATGCATTTTCTCCCTGGCAAATTGCATGTTTTCAGGAGCAATGCGGTCAGTCTTTTATTTACCTGTTAAACACTTGGTTTTTATTTATAAGTACAAAAAAAAAAAAAAAAAAAAAGTGTGTTTACTTAAGTTGTTATTTATTAAAATTTTTCATACTTTTTTGTTGTACAATTCAAAAATAATAAAAAGAAAATCTGAAGGGTTTCAGATTTTAAATTACGTCCATAGGAAGCGTCTTTTTTTAACATTTCGTGTGCTACCTTTATTTATTAAATACCATGTTCTACGCACTTAAACCATAAAATTCACTTCAACAGCAATATCGTAAAGTAATTTTAAATTAAGCATATCTTTAGAATTACCGATACACAGTCTCGCTCGCTGTAGATAAAAATGTTTTTTCTCTACAACGTCGCCATGGCTCCCTTTGAAATCCTTGAGTTTGTTAATCAAAAATTCGTTAAAGTTTTGCAAAATATGAAATTAATAATAAACAAATTCCAAATTTGGGCTTCCAGATGCCCATATTCGCAGGAGGATTGCGTTATTCATAATTCGATGGCTCTAGGTACCGACGTTTTATCACAATGCAAGAAACATACATACATTTATGCAAATTCTTCATTACTTAATTTCTTTAAATGTAATACAGGGCGATAATATTTGGTGGCAACAATTTGAAAAGTGAAACAATGCAGAAAGTGAATCGACGCAAAATGCCAAAACGAAAAAAATCCTTCTCGGCAAATTTCCCCTTTGGACTAAAAACAAAATCTTGTGTTTACTCAAGTTTGTTATTTATTGTGTTTTTACTCAAGTTTCTTCATTTTCCATACTTCTGTTGTTTAATTTACAAGACACGTTAAAAATTATACAAATCTAAGAAATTTTTAAAAAAATCTGAAAGGTTTCAGATTTTAAAGATTTCAAAGTGGGGTTTATTTAACGTTTTGTGTGTTACCTTTATTTATTAAATATTCACGTTCTTTGCACTTTCCGATACACAGTCTCCGATACATGAAAAGTTTTTTTTCCCCCGTAGAGTGTTGCCATTTCTAGCTTTTAAATAGTTGAATTTGTTACCCAAAAATTCTTTAAAGTTTTACAAAACATGAAATCGATCATAAAACAAATTCCATATTTCAAATTTTGGCAAATTTGGGCTTCCACGTGCCTATATTCGTAGGAGGATTACGTTATTCAAATTTCGATGGCTCTATGTACCGTTGTTTTATCACAACGCGAGAAATAGACATACATTTTATGCAGATTTTTCATTATTTAATTTCTTCAAGCATAATGCAGGACTCTAACATTTGGTGGCAACAGTTTGAAAAGTGAAACGGACATTTATGGTGATTCAACGCAAAATCGCAAAACGAAAACAATATTCCTACAGGGACAAAGCTCCTTTGGACTAATAAATATACACGTATGATTTGAGTTTTTGAAAGGGGTGGGAATGATTTTGTAGCAATGGGTGAAAGGGGTCCATTGCAAAACAGGTTAAAAACCGTGGTCATAAAAGGAACAAGCGATTTGTATAGCTGCAATTT